GACTCTAAACCAGAAGCTGGGGCGACTCTAAACCAGAAGCTGCGGCGACTCTAAACCAGAAGCTGGGGCGATTCTAAACCAGAAGCCGGGGCGATTCTAAACCAGAAGCCGGGGCGATTCTAAACCAGAAGCCGGGGCGATTCTAAACCAGAAGCTGGGGCGACTCTAAATTTTGTTAGGGAAATATCTTATATTTTTCTTGACGTTGATAGATCAAAGTTATTACTCTTACAGTTTTACGTTATGTTATGGTTTCAGACATTATTATTTGTTGTTTTTCAGGTCGGTTGCCGAAGTGGCTTACTTTATAGGCACTTATATCAGTTATCGTATGAATAGGTTATGGCAATAATTGTACAGAGAGAGGATTGTAATGAAACACTGGTACATTTCATATTAAATTGGGAAATTCGAGTTCACATCCTACGTTGACAAGAATATCTAGTACATGAAAAAAAAATCCGAACACAATTAAAATTTAGAACCTATCAGTTAACATCAATAAAATCTTCTACTTTTACCAAAAACGTTGAACCGTAGAACAGCATTCTGGTATAAGTAGAAGATTTTAGTGGTGTTAACTGATAGGTTCTAAACTTTGATTGTGTTCGGACTTTTTTTTTCATGTACTAGAAATTCTTGTCAGCGTAGGATGTGAACTTGAATAGGATGTCAACGTAGGATCCAGCAGCTATCTCAATCAATCGTCAGTTATGGAAAGATCGGGTTCCAAAGGCCAGATCCCTTGTGAATCAAGTCACGAAAAGTTCAAGAGTCGGCAACAGGCCATGGGCCTATTTCTTCAACGCCGACACTTCTATTCTATTATGAAATGTAAGAGTATTTCATTACAACCCTCTCTGTACGATTATTGCCGTAACCTATTCATACGAGAACTGACATACGTGCCTAAAGTAAGCCACTTAATTCGGCAACCAACCTGACAAACTACTTATAATAATATCTGGAACCATAACATAACGTAAAACTGAAAGAGTAATAACATCGATCGATCAACGTAAAAATATTAAGCGATAGAAAAATACTCTCCTAATTATAGCAAGTTACACTCAGTCACAGTTCTAGCAGCCGTAAGGAGGGTGAAGGACCGTAATCCAGCCCAGTAAATAACTGCTTAGAGATAATATAGTGCCTTAGGCTATCACTATCAGCCAATACTTAAGAATGCTCGCACATAAACAGGCAATTCCGCATCCGGCCTAACCTCTTCTGGCCTAACCTATTCCGGCCTAACCTCTTCTGGCCCAACGTCTTCTGGCCTAACCTTTTCTGGCCTAAACTCTCTTGGCCTAACCTCTTCTAGCCTAACCTCTTCCGGCCTATCGTCTTCTGGCCCATCCTCTTCAGGCCAAACCTCTTCTGGCCTAACCTCTTCACGCGTTCCCGGCTCACCTATATACGCTAGCCTAACCTCTTCTGGCATAACGTCTTCTGGCCTATCCTCTTCTGGCCTAACCTCTTCACGCGTTCCTGGCTCACCTACTCTGGCCTAACCTCTTCAGGCCTAACCTCCTATGGCCAAACCTCTTCTGGCCTAATCTCTTCTGGCCAAATCTCTTCCGGCTTAACCTCTTCACGCTTTCCCTGCACACAGCTTTCTTGCAACCAATGACTGGCTTCACCAGCTCACTTGAACTGCCTTTCTAACCTCCTGAAGCCAATAAGGTTAGGTTACGTCCGCTCAGGTTTGTTTTGGGTGGAGAAACGTTGCAACTTGTGTAGGCTAGGCCTGGAGAGGTTAGGCTGGAAGAGGTTTGGCCAGATGCAGTGTAGCATGCTGATCGTTAGCATGCTTAAGTGGTGGCTGTGGATAACCGGCGCTATGGTTTTGAGCAGTTGACTTCGTAGGCTGCTATGCCCTTCAGGGTTCTTACCCAAGGAAAGGAATATGAATCGAGTGTGAAGTTAGGCAAAGCTGACTTTTAGCATGCGCCCCCCCCCGGATACGTGTACGTACACCTGACCGAAGTTGAGGGCTAGAAATGTATGTATACCTGACCGTGTACGTATCTGGCCGTGTACGTACCTGGCCGTGTACGTTAGTGGATACGAAGACAGCGATAGTGTCGGGCCAGGGGATGGTGATGTATTGGTCCCACCATCTTTTGATGACGATGCTGACGTAGAAGCCCAACACGAACGCCATCGGGATGAGGTTGATGAAGGCCTCGATGTGTAGGGCAACCGCCTCGAACTGCCTGGAGGAGCGAGTATCAGCCAGCTGTAAATATTCGGTATCATACGAGACCGCATCGATCAGCCTTCACTGAGAGATATGAGTGAGGTTTTGTACGAATTGTGACACACATTCTGATCGATAATGGAGCAGAGAACACACGCTTCTCTCCAAGGGTACACTGAGGTCCGATAGCCAGCATACATTTCTATTATTGACCATACCCAGTGTCAACCAGCATGCTCACCCCTCTGGGGTTATACTGAGGTCTGATCGCCTACCTGCAGCCCCATTATTGACCATACTCAGTGTCAACCTGCTCACCCCTCTTGGGGTACGTATAGGTCTGATCGCCTGCATAGATTCCCGTTATTGACCATACCCAGTGTCAACCAGCTCATCCCTCTAGAGGTACACACAGCACTTATCGCATGCATGTATACCCATTATTGACGATACCCAGTGTCAACCTGCTCACCCCTCTTGGGGTACGCATAGGTCTGATCGTCTGCATACATTCCCATTATAGACCATACCCAGTGTCAACCAGAGGCCATACTTTCAAAACTCGCTAAGTGAACGTAAGTACTTACGCTCTATTTTCTTGTCTATGATTGGTGGATTTGGCTTGAAAGGCCGTCAATGATTGGCTGATGAACTTACAATCTCTCAACTTTTTTTGAAAGTATAGGCCTTGCTCACCTCCTCTGAGGGTCGTCGAGGGCGAGGCGGTAGATGAGGGAGATGGTGGTGTAGGCGAGGCAGTAGATGACGAGCTCGTGCCACACCAGCTTGTAGATACTGCCCTGCCATCTGGTGGACAGGTGGGTCAGGTAGTGTCAGGTGGGTCAGGTGGGTCAGGTAGTGCCAGGTGGGTCAGGTAGTGCCATGTGGGTCAGATAGTGTGGTGTTAATGCAGGCCGTCATACACTTGGCAGGGGCCCGTTGGAAAAATCAGGTAGGAATAACATTAAAAATGTAACTAGTTAAAAAATATAGTGAGGTACGGATTATCAACAAAACCTTAGGTAGGAATAGCATTAGGAACGTTAGGCTCACCTGAACAGAAGCTTCCAGAAGCAGCCGAAGCCACGGCTGCTGGTCGCCACTTGAGCAGTGTAACTGATAGTCATCTTGGCTAGTTACAACCTAGCAAACTTAACCACAACTTAGCCAACGAAACCACAACCTAATAAACCTAACTACAACAAACCTAATAGCTCCACCGTGGACTAAACTCATTCAGTACAATTAATTAGTTTATAATTAATTAGTTGATATTAGTTAATTAGTTGATAATATCGAAGTTATCTCACGGAGGGCTTGCGGGTACCCGCCATCACGGCGCTGTAAACACAAAAGATTTGTACATTTAATGATTAGCTTTTGTTATTAGTCTTTGTGCTTAACCCTCTACCGCCGTATGTCACTCTCCGGGAACATAACTTACAACTTAAATTATACTATTATATATACTACCTATTATATTATATTATATTATATTATATTATTAACAATACTTAGTCTTGTGCTTAGTCTTAACCCTACATATTAATAAGTCACCCCCACAAGGGGGGGGGTGGGTAAGTCACTTGCCGGCCAATTGCCGCTAACTGTTCAAGGTCACGCGCATCGGGTCCCAAGGTCACGGGAAATGACATCTTACTAGGAGTTACACGAGATATACGGGGGCACGTGTACACGAGATATACGGGGCACGTGTACACGAGATATACGGGGGCACGTGTACACGAGATATACGGGGGACGTGTACACGCTGTCTCTTATACACATCTAGATGTGTATAAGAGACAGGCTGTGCACTTGACCGTTTTTAAGATCTTCGTTAATGAGTCTCCTTATCTGTAAACTCAATTATAAAAATTTGTTGATTTTACATTACGCTAATGACCTGATGTTTAACAAGATTCGTTAATTGATGCTTGAAGTGCGCGTCCTACAGGTTATTGAATGTACGCTTAAATTGAACAGACTTTTCATTGGGATTTTCAGTATCACTGTGAATAGAATTTTTGCGGGGTGAACGCTCGTTCTAATTTCGTGTTATTTACGTATTTAAAAATAGCTCCGTTTGTGTCTGTAAGGTTTACCAGCGTCAGTTTGATTATCTATTGGTAAAGTGTCGATAATTTCAAGAATACTCCTGGGAGTTCATTGACTACTCTAAGATTCAAAAGATCGATGACTCATTGTTCAACAGATTGTGATTTCTTAGCTCAACTCTTGTAAAATTGATTCTTGTGAGTGGATTTGATTTTTGTAGACATTGTTATTTGTTTGGCTCCGTGATTTCTGCTCTCGATTTATTTCTTGTGAACGAGTTTACTATTAACAACGTCAAATGATCAGAATGCGGCGTCAATCGATACGATTCTGCTTGTTTTAATGAATGTTGAAGGAAATGAGTTGAAATCCCCAACATTTTTGCTGGTTTGTTTCAACCTAGAAAATTGATTNCGAGAGTGTGGTGAACAGACGAGAGTGTGGTGAACAGGCGAGAGTGTGGTGAACAGGCGAGAGTGTGGTGAACAGGCGAGAGTGTGGTGAACAGGCGAGAGTGTGGTGAATGAATAAATATGGTGAATAAATAAATAATAAAATACCCTGGGTATTCAGTATAAAATAAATGCATGTATTTAATAGAATATATTAAAATTATTCACCATTAAAACAAAACTAATTCTTATACTCCGCGTCTCTCCCGCTTTGTGCGGCAGGAGCCCCGGCACGACACACCCTCCCTCCACGACCGCCGCAGCGACACTGGCAGTTCAGCTCGCGTGACTAAAACCTGGAGGCGCCGTTGCCTCTGGCAACGCCGTCACCTGCACGTCAATAATAAAGGTCAACTTTTGGTATTTGGGTTAACGTGGAAACCAATGGAGTAAATCAGTATTAAATAGTAATTAAAGTGAGGTAATTCAGTGGAAATTACCACGTTAAATGAGGTATTTCACTGGGAATTCCACCGTGATTAACGAGGCAATTCAGTAGGAACGTAAACATGAGTTAGGTAGTGCAGCGTCATGCATCAACTTACGAGCGGTTTTTTAGTACTTAAATGCAGTTGTTCATTAGGATCCATTATCAATTATTAATAAATTGTCATTATTATCAAATTATTATTGTTTTCGCTCACTAAATACATAAAATGGTTACAGCTGGCTCGTCATGGTAGGATTTACGAGTCGTTAGAGGAGGACAGGTTCTGTGGCCTCCCACACCTGCTGTGCAATGGGGGGTGGT